ACAATCTGGAATTACCACGTTAATCCATTCACTTATTGAAGGACATTTTGGTTGCTTCCAAATGTAGGCAATTATTTTAAAAAGCTACTATAACATCTTTTTGGAGGTTTTGTGTGAATGTAAGTTTTCAACTCCTTTGGGTAAAAACCAAGAGCTACAGTTGTTCAATTGTATAGTAAGATTGCATTTAGTTTTGTGAACTGCCAAATTGTCTTCTACAGTGGCTTTACTGTTTTACATTCCCACCAGTCATGTATGGAGAATACCACTTAGTCTACTTCCTTATCAGCACTTCGTGTTGTCAGTGTTCCAGATTTTGGCCATTCTAGTAGTTGTGTAGTAATATATTATTCTTGCTTTAAATTGCATTACCCTGATGATATGATGTGGAACATCATTTCAAGTGCTTATTTGCCATCAATATATTTTCTGTGGTGAGGTGTCTCTTAAGGACTTTGATTCATTTTTAAATCAGGTTTTTGTTTTCTTGTTGAGTTTTAAGAGTTCTTTGTGTATTTTGAAAATATACTTTGTACAGTGTTATATAGTAGGAATCACATGATATGTAACCTCTTCAGATTACTTCGGTATAGAGTATATGGGAAATCCATGACCTTCTTTGTACAGTGTTATATAGTGTATTTTATTAAGTATTTCTTTGTAAATATTTTCTTCCAGTTTGTGAGTCCACCCCTGCGCGTGCTCTCTCCCTTTCCATCTCTCCCCGACTGTCTCTCTCTCTCTCATTCTGGGTGCTGGGGATGGAACCCAGGAGCAGTCTACCACTAAGCTACATCCTCAGTCCTTTTTATTTTTCATTTTGAAACACGGTCTTACTAAGTTGCTGAGGCTGGGCTTGAACTTGCAATCCTCCTGCCTCAGCCTCCTGAGTTGCAAGGATTGCAGGTGTGTGCCACCATTCTCAGCTGGCTTTACCTTTTGTTTTCATGATTATGTCTTCCACAAAGCAAAACTTTTAATTTTAATGAAGACCAGCTTATCAATATTCTTTCCTTCATAGATCATGCCTTTGGTGTTGTATCTAAAAAGTCACTGGTTGGTGTAAGCACAAATAACTGGAAATGGAAGCAGACCTCAAATGGATCAGCAAGCTTTTGTTTATTCAGCAGTGGAGTCAATCAGTCAGGCATCGGAGGGGCTCATTTTTGGGGTGGAAAATGGCCTCTGGTTATGAAGAATTCTGAGTTTTATAGGTTACAGTATGAGTGGTTAATTATCAGAGGCTCAGGCAAAACATGGCGGTCTGGGCAGAGTTGTAAAGATTCGAAACTTATTGTTACTGGGGATGGATGAAAGCTCAGAGTTCAGGCCCCCACTGCTTATTTTCTTCCTCTGGGGTCCACTGTTACCCAGAGCTTCACTGTTTACCCTCTCCTTCCTGGACTCATGGACAATGGGAAAGGGTGAAAGTCCAAAACCCAGCGTTTCAGTATCCACCTCCTACCTTCAGGACCCTTGGTTGTTGGGAAGGGATGAATGTTTGCTTTTGGTGGAGATGCTGGGGATTGAACCTGCTTATTTCCCTCGGGGTCCATTGTTTCTGGGAAAAGACTTACTGGGAGAGGATTAATAATTGCTTTCCATCACCCTCCTCCTCCTCCTTGGGGTCAGACACTTTTTGGGGGGGGTTGTCATTTCCCTGTCCTGGGGGTTATGGTAAACCCGTATCCTTCAATTGGCCCTGAAGTATCTGATTTTCTGTTGTTTTTTAGTTTTGCAATTTATATTTAGGTTTATGATCCATTTTGATTTAATTTTTGTGAAAGATATAAGATCTGTCTTGATTCTTATTTTTAATTTTTTGTACTGAGGATTGAGCCCAATGGCGCTTTACCACTGAGCCACATCACCACCAGCTCTTTTAATTTTTTATTTTGATACAGGTTCTCACTAAATTACTTAGGAACTTGCTAAGTTGCTGAGGCTGGGCTTCAACTTGCAATTCTCTTGTCTCAGCCTCCCCAGCTGCGGGGATTATAGGTGTGTCCTACTCCACCCTGCTGTTCCAGTATTATCTGTTGGAAAGATCAATCTTTTTTTTTTTTTTTTTTTGAGAGAGAGAGAGAATTTTAATATTTATTTTCGGCGGACACAACATCTTTGTTTTTTTATGTGGTGCTGAGGATCGAACCCCAGCTGCACGCATGCCAGGCGAGCACACTACCGCTTGAGCCACATCCCCAGCCCCAAGACAATCTTTTAACTCCATTGTATTGCTCTTGTTACTTTGTCAAAGATCAGTTGACTACATTTATGTAGGTCTATTTTGAGGTCTCCATTCTGTCTCCTGGATCTACTTGACAATTCTTTCACCGAGACTATTGTTATTGTAGCTTTATAGTAAGTTTTGAAATTGGATATTACCTGTCCTCAGCTTTGCTATTCTTCAGTATTGTGTTAGCTGTTACGGGCATTTTGCCTCTCCATGTAAACTTTAGAATCAGTTTGTCAGTATTCACAAATTAGCTTTGATTTTATTGGGATTGCATTAAATCTAGAGAATTTGAGTACTGACATCTTGATATTAAGCTTCCTATCCATAAATGTGGATGTCTCCATTTTATTTAGGTTTTTTTTTTCAATCTAAGTTTTGTAGCTTTCCTCATATAGATTTTGTGAAATTTTTGTTAGATTTATATCCATTTTTTTAGAGGGACTGGCATTGTTTTTAACTTCAAGCTTCATATGTTCATTGTTGGTATACAGTTAAATCTTTGTATGACTTTTCATTAGATGACAGGCATTGTATATTTTGTGTTTTGTTGGGTGCTGCATATTTCAAAATTCATCCATATATACATATATATTATAATATATATCATTATATATTACACATGTACATATTAGTGTATATATATTACATTCAGGGATGTCTAGGTCATTATTTTGCCTTGTAGGATGATTAGCAACATATCTCAAGCCTCTACCCACTAGATGCCAATAATGCCCATCTCTCCTGGCTAACAGCTAAAAACATCTTCAGACATTGCTGAATGTCTCCTGGGGCGTAGTTGCTCTTGTTTGAGAACCACTGCTCTTCCTCATGTCCGGTGGATTACAAAGTTTCCTACTCTGGCTCTTTGTGATTTCTAGTGATTTTTCCCCTCTAATCTCTTTGTTCTTTCCCCAAACTCAATTGTGCTTTTAAGTACTCAACTGAATACTCAAGGAGGAATCCTCTGAAAAATTCATGTCTTCTTTCTGTGCACTTATCTCCTCTCTGGTACTCTGACCTGCAAAAGTCAGCTACAATGGCCTCCTGGGACCCCTTGCTCCATTTTCTCCACTTAATTCCAAGCTAGGTCTGGTTTCCTGGTCCCTGTGCTGTGGCCCGGTATTAAACTGGGGCAATTTAAGTTTACATCACTGGTTTCTTTTCTTGTGGAGATCTCGTTTCCCGTTCTTTGCCTCTGTGTGATATATTTTGTCCAATATTCTACTTGGTCAGGCAGGTTAGATCTGGTCCCTGTACCCCATCTGACATGAAGGGTTATTTTCTTCTTGGTACTGGGGGATTGAACCCAGGGGCACTTAACCACTGAGCCACATTCCAGACTTTTTTTTTTTTTTAGTGATACAAGGTCTCAGTAAATTGCTGAGACTAGCCTCAAACTGTGCTCATCCTACCTCAGCTTCCCCAATCACTGGGATCACAGGTATGCTCCACCATGCACCTCTGTCTTCGGAAGTGTTTTCAGTGACAAAAACAGTATAACTATTTGTTAATTAGAAAAACCCAGAAGGTGATTTGATGTGAGGTTAAGGATTACTGGAATGTTGAGTTATGTGAAAGGACTTGGATCCAGTGAGAGGTTAGTCTTACACAGAAGCAGTTGGTCTAAAATTGAGAAGAAAGATACAAGATTAACTAGTCAACCTGTGATAATCGTAAGTGGTTTCCTGTTTTCTAATAAATACATTTTAGGTACATACATATTGAGGAAAGGTAATGCGATTTAGACAGGTTGGCCAGGGAAGTTTGCACAAAGCAAACTTTAAGGAAGCCAACCACGAGACTGGAGGAAGGCTATTCCAGGCGTGGGGACAGCAATTACAAAGAACTTGATGTGGAAGCCATGCTTGATTAGCAAGGAGGATAATGTGGCTGGAGAGAATGAACATCGGGAAAAGGTAAGGCCAGAGAGACAAAGATGGTGAGGGGGGCAGGCAGTCAGTGAAGACCTGGTTGGCCACTGGCAGAACTGACTTTTCCTTTGAACAAGATGATAGACCATTAGAAGTTTTGGGCAAAGGAATATGACAGGATGCTGAGAACAGTTGAACAAAAAAAAATCACCATCTGGTTTTAAATTCTTAAAATGTTTCTTTACATATTTTATGAAGGTAATGTTTAGAAATAAAAATCACCCAGTCATACGTAGTTCTAGTAACACCCCACTAACATTTTGTTCTCTATACATTCATATGGATGTTTCTTTAAAGACCTGTCCCCATTTCTAAGTATTAAACCAGTATTATTAAACCAAACGTATTAATTTATTGCGCAGGTCTTGAGCATCTACAAATCCACAGGTCTGATAACCTCAAAGAACCATGTTGTTGTTGGTGGTGGGGTGGATATCAAATCATAGGGAGTGTTCTAAGAGCAGCATTAGAAAGTAGGTGCAACACAGACCCAACAGTGTCATACCCGAGTCTCACACAAATTAATCTGGAGGAAGGATGGGAAGAGAACTGTCAAAGTGGCTGTGTGAAACTGTTGATTCATGCATTTCAACATAGATGTGCAGTTACTGTTGAAAAGTGTGTGTGTGTGTGTATGGCATGTGGTATAGAGAGAGCAGGATGACAAATGGCAGAGGTTGACAGAGGCCAAATAATGGAAGGCCATGCTGTTTTATTAATTCATATAGTGTGTGAAGTGTTAAGCCTAGAATTTTAAATTTCAAAGGTCTTCTATAAATCAATGAGAAAATACAAATAATCTATATGTTTATCAGGACAGAAACCAAATCCAATTATCTTAAACAAGAAAGGGACTTTATTGGCTCACAAAACTTTAAAGTCCAGAGGTAGGGCAGGCTTTAGGCACAGCTGGATCTAGGGCCTCCAGAAAAATGACATCAGAACTTTCTCTTTCCATTTTAGTTGGCCTCCAAGTTTCTCCTCAGACAGGCTTTCTCCACATAGTACAAATTCAAGCTCCAGTGGTCCTTGGTTCCTGGGATCTCTGTGAAGCCTTCTTCCAGTAGTTTTAGCAGTTCTGTTGAGGGCTCTCCTTAGCCTGGCTTAAACTACACACGCATTTTTTAACAGCTGCTGCTAGGGAGCTGTGGGACTGAGGCCAGGACACGTGCTCACCTAAGCCACAAGGGAATGGGTTCACCGCAATAAATAAGGGTTGTTATCAGAAGATGGGAAAAAAGATGAACAAATAAAAACAAATGCACACAACCCAATACGAAAGCAGGTAAAAGAAACGAACAATCCATGGTATAATTATAGATGACTGATAACCACAAAAATAATTCCAACTTCACTATTTATCAGGGAAATGCAAAATAAAGGGCTTTCTTTTTTCTTTTTTGCCCAACACTTAAAAACTATCAAGTATAGGTAAGGCTATGTGGGGAAAGGAGCACTTTCCATACAGTTGGTGAAAATATATTAGTTTTCATGAAGACCTTTTGGAAGGCTAAGGTGGGTCTATAAGACTGCAAACTTTTAAACCCAACCATCTACCTTACAGGACTCCAACCTAAGGAATTATTCAACACATCCACAAAGATCTGAATGTTTACTTTGGCAATGTAATAGCAGAAGAAAAAAAGGGGTAAATAGTTAAATAATGGTATTTTCATAGTTTTAATCCCATTTAACTGTAAAAGAAATTTAAAGACCTCAGTGTCATTTCTGAGATAAAAAAATGAATTTCAGATGTATGATCCTATGTAAAAATAGTGTTTATGTATGGTCACATGGAAATTTATAGAAAGGTTATTAGAAGGATGTATACTGAACTATGGAAAGTGGAATTTGACTGGAAGCCCTGAAAAAAATAGTCTCTTTGCTCTTATACTTGTGTACCTTTTAAGTTTTGTATAATGAGAAGGTAGTCATTTATACTTTCATAATTAAAAAAAAAATGGGCAAAAGCAATTCACAATAGGAAAAAAAATGCCCAGTAAACATATGAAAAGATGTTAAAGATGTTCCTCCTTGTTAATCAAAGAAAAGAAATAAACAAAACAAACAAAAACCACATTTGCCTATATCAGGCAAAAAATTTTAAGGACACAGCACTGGTAGGAGTGTAGCATACAGTCATTCTTACTACTGAATGGAGTTGTAAACTGATATAATCTTTTTGATGGTATTTTTCAAAAATGTCAAATGTGCATTCCCTGATCCAATAAATACACTTCTAGCTATTTGTATTACAGAAATACCCACAAAGGTAACAAAATATATGTATGTACAGGATGTTAACTATGCCTGTTATTTATAAAAAAACCAATAATCCATCAACGTGGGGTTGGTTAACTAAGAGTATATTCATGCAATGAAATAGTATTCAGCTATAAAAAATGTCTATATCAATGTAGAGGGAGGGGGGCAAGTCTTAGTGCAATATATGTAAAATGGGCATATGTACCAACTTCATATGGTTGCTGAGGGTTAAAGAGTTAATCCATGGTAAAGCACTTTAATAGGTGTCTATAGGCAGCAACCCAACCCCAAGTGTTACCAAATAAAGTATTTTTGCTTAAATATGTATACCTAAATCTAGAAGAACAACAAATAAACCGCCATCACTTCTGAGGAAGGCTTTGAAAGGATATGTCCTTTTTAACTTTACATTTCTGTACTACAAAAATTTTTTTTAAAAAATCAATGAGCATCTTGTTTTCACATTTGTTAACCAAAAAACATAAAAATGTAAGATTTATCAACCAAGATTTAACAGCCTTATAGTGAAAACTATCTGTACTTGAGTCCACAGAACTAGATTTGGGTTTTAGTTTTAATTGGAAACATGTAAGTCATGTATCTCTGAATCTTGTTTTCCTAGTCTACAAATCTAGGTGGGATAGGTAATGTCTAATCCAATACTTAGCATGCAGATTATTTCAATACGTGTAACCTCCCCTTCATTTGACGCAAATGTAAGACACTATTAAATGGTCAAGTATCGACTGTTGTCAATGTAAAGAGCATAACCTCCAAGAAACTATAAAACTTAACAGTAACTAGCAAATGCTCCCAGTAGCTAAAGGCTACTGCAAGCCCCTAACACAATAGTTCATTGCTAACCAAACACATGTTCTGGTTAGGTCACTGCTTGGCAACCAATTTACAATGATTTTCTGTATGGGCATAAGTGAAATGTCTGAATGAAACCATAAATCACTAATGAGCTATTCTAAATCAATGTCTAGTTAACCCTAACCAAAGATGGTGAGCACACATCCCATCACATCTTCTCCCTGTGTACCACCATCTGTTTTTTTTTTTTCCTTATCTAGTTGCTTTCCCCACATGCCTTGCCTTAGAATTTGAACTATGCACAGGTATCAGCTGGCAAAACCAAAACATATTTGCCAAATATAATGCTACTTTTTCTGTGCTCTCACAACACCCAACATCTTTGGCATTTATGACAAATCTACCAAAGGGAAGCTTCCTCAAATATAAGATCTTAGAAAGCACAAAATCCAACTTCTGAGACATCACTCCCTTCTTACCTACTCTGATACAAGAATCCTGTCATCCCAGCAGTCTTCCAAATATGCCACCTAAAACGTACTTGGAAAGAAGCAAGTTATAAATAAATAAATCAACTCAAGATCATTTTATCTCAGAGCAGAGGAGTTTATAGCTTTATTGGACATTGACTTGTTTCCTCTCAGTCACAAGGAAAAAAAGACCCCAACAAAAGTCCCTACATTTTCTTGTATAACTTAAAATACATTATATCATTACTACATATTTATACTTCAATAAATCTTAATCTATAAAGCACATTTCTTATAATTGTTATCAGAAAATCTATAAACAAGCTCCATTCTGCCTCACTTCTCCACCAGCTGGCCTTGCATTTATTACTATGCTTTTTATCAGGCTCATGCAAATAATCTTCCCATTTTGATCCAAGCACCAAATACAACCCAAATCTCTGCAACTATGAAATATTTGGATTTGCATGGATCACTTTCCATACAATGATGCCCACTGTAAAAAGCCTTTTCTCATTCAATATTTTAACTTCCAGAGTTTTCCACTAAGCAGTAGAAACACAGTACTTGGAATTCTCAGTCAAGGAGTATATAACCCTACTACTAACAATGTATTACTTTAATACATTTTTAAAAAATGTGTTAAGACTGAAAATTAAAAATAGTTCAATCAATCTGATAGTTAATAAACTAGTTGTTAATAGCCTAGTTGTTTATTTTTAAAGAACAGTCCATTTAACTTAACATGTAGGTACAACCTCAACACTACTAGAGATTGGTTTTTTTTTTTTTTTTTAAAGAGATTAATAAACCTCCAAACTGTGATAAGAATGTATCCTGGACTCACCTCTGAAGAATGCTGGAGAGCTGGCTAGCTCTTTGAGCTGATTCCTCATCCCCCTCCAAATACAACACCCTGGTAAGAGAACTATGGCTCTGGGAATCTCAGAGGTGACATTCCTGGGAATGCTGACAGGGGAAAAGAGGGTAACTACATGAAACAGCTTTATATTAAATCCCCTAAGATTTACAGTGGAAGAAACACCTACCAACTTAATGGTAGGATTACAGTACCTAGCACAGTGCCTTGTCGGTAGAAAATGTTTTAATAATAAATGCATGGCTGCTTTAGCCTGGTGTTCAACCCTTTTGTACCATAGGAATAAAAATAGCAAACCTGATACATGATGCCTTGTTAGGTAATCATCTGTCTTTAATAAAGATGAAGGCAAAAGAATGATTAATTAGATCTTTTGAGTCTCTTTTCCCAAAAGCCAAGTCAGACCATTAACTTGTGTTTACATTTGCCTTTCAATACTGCCATTTTTAGTGTTAAAATTTCTACCTTAACACTTCTACAATTATTGTTAAACTACTTTTAAATAATAAATGGGAAAATATTTTCATTAGTTAACAGGCCCCAATAAGATACAATGAGCAGTTTGTCAGTTTCCTGTGGGAGATGGACTATACTTAAAATTCCTACATTTCAATGCAGAGATCAAAGTATTTGTATATCTTCCCAACCTAGACATTCCATTCACTTTTTTGAGATTTTATCACCATCACTTATCTGAGATCTTAAGGCTCCTTTTATTTTGATGCTTTCAGCCATTCTTTATCTTCTGTTTTCTCAAAAGTATATTCTAATTAGGTAAAACAGAAAGATATATTTTAAAAAGATGGTTTTGAGACTTTATAGTTCCTACGTTACCCTTTAAAAGTAGAAAGGAATGTATCCTTACAAAGAACATTTCAATGATCAACATAGAAATAAGGTATTTGTCTAGGAAATAAAACTTAAAAGAAAGGGAAAAACAATCAGGTAGTTCATTATTTGGAAAAAATAGAGAATATAAACATCACATGGAGAAATTAGGCATTAACACCTGAATTAAGTTTAAAATTTCAGTTTCCAGGCAGGTATAACACCATTTTTTCCCAAGATAAAATAATAATGGTGAATGAAGACTTTTTTATATTTCCCAGTGGATTTTCTGACAGTCAATAGGGAAAAAAACTATTCTATATCACTTCATGTTTTTAACTGTGTCTTCATTTCTGAAGAAAAAGACCTGAGTGCTGATTTGTGTGTGTGTGTGTGTGTGTGTGTGTGTGTGTGACTTCTTAAACTTTCACAACATTCAGAAGTTTTTCTGCATTGTGTCTTCTCTGATGTCTAAAAAGATTTGAGCTTTGACTATAAGATTTCCCACACTGAACACATTCATAAGGTTTCTCCCCAGTATGGATTCTCTGATGATTAATAAGCCCAGAATTCTGGCTAAAGGCTTTCCCGCATTCAAGACATTTGTAAGGTTTTTCTCCAGTATGGACTCTCTGATGTTGTACGAGGATGGAACTTCTGCTGAATGCCTTCCCACACTCAACACAGCCATAAGGTTTCTCCCCACTGTGGATTCTTTGATGGAGAATAAGAGCTGAGCCTTGACTGAAGTGTTTTCCACATTCATCACATATATGTTGTTTCTTCCGAGAGGGATTTCTCTTTCTTTCAAACCTGCCCTTTGGGAAACAGGTTTCTCCATATTTAAAAATCTGAGGAACACCTATATTGAGAGTACCAGGAACTTCATGAGATTCTACTGCTAAAGGAATTTCCTGTTTTGGAGCTAGTGCTCCATTTTCAGTCCGAGCATCATCATCTGAAACAAAGAGAAAAATGCAAATATGAAATAAAGAGAAAATGCACAGCCTATCTGGGGAGAAAAGATGTTCGAAAGAAAAAAAATTTAAATGAACTAAGAATAAATTGTTTCTGCACATCTATAAACAGCATTCTGATAATTAGTGTTAAGGATGCTCCCCCCCCCAAAAAAATAAAATGACTAATTATAAAGCTAATGAAGTAACAGCATAACATGATGACATAAAAAGTTCTATTTAAATTAAACACTAACCTAGAGAATAATAAACGGTAGATTCTAAGATAGTTTGGGAGATAGTCAAAATGAAATAGTTAGGTCTAGAAGAAATTTTGTTAGAAAAAAAATGGCCATTAGGAAATAATGTTCTTTAAGAAAAATTAAATCAAGGGCTGGGGTTGTGGCTCAGCTCGCCTAGCACGTGCGAGGTCCTGGGTTCGATCCTCAGCACCACATAAAAAATAAAGGTATTATATCCATCTACAACTAAAAAATAAATATTTTTAAAAAATTAAATCAAAACACAAAGGTGTAAATAATAAGTAGTCTGTCAAAAAGTAGCTATTTCTGAAAATAAGCAAGGCAGATCATAGCCAAGATTAAATTAAAAGCAGACAACAGGTTCTGATAAAAAAAAAAAGGGTCTGAAGAAGGGTTGAGAGCATCCTATGTTAACTGAAGACAAGGTACTTAAAAATTCAATATATCTTTAACCAATAAGAGGTTTCCTATAAAAGAAACCTGCCCTACTTGGTATCTGCCCTACTTGGTATTTAGAAAAACTGTCATTTCTAAGCCTCAGTGAGAGATGTCCAGTGAAAACAAAGCCTAAATTACCAACAGGAAGTACCATCACCAGGGGCTGGGGATGTGGCTCAAGTGGTAGCACGCTCGCCTGGTATGCGTGTGGCCCGGGTTCAATCCTCAGCACCACATACAAACAAAGATGTTGTGTCCACCGAGAACTAATAAATAAATATTAAAAAATTCTCTCTCTCTAAAAAAAAAAAGAAGTACCATCACCAACCTATAGTCAGAAGTAAGAGTAAGTCTTATGTAAGGATTCCCTAAAACTTCAAGTCTCAAAAAATTACGGTTGATATAGATAGGGTAAGTAACATCACTCAAAAAAGTGGTCAACAGTATTATGATCAATAAAGAGATAATAAGTCAGGAGAAGAGACGGAGACTCTGACAATTAAAGGTTTATAGAAGATTAATTAACTAAGGCATGGAAACTTGAAGAACAGAGAAGTATGAAGATTAAGTGTGGACAATGGGGCACAGAAAAAAAATCAATGTCCCAAATGTGTAGGAGACTAGAGTGCTGAAATGAGGCTATTAAAAAACAGGTAAAAAAATTATTCTAAATTTCACAACAAGGAGAACTTCTCTACTCAAGCAAATGACACGTCCAAAGATCAAGGGCTGTGGTTCTTAAAACATTCTTACACAGAAGAATGTCCCACAAAACATGTACAATTGCAGATTTTCAGCAAACTTGATTTGTGAGCACTGTCCCCTTGGCAAAGGAAACCTGCTCAGACTTCATTCTGTGGCATACTAGAATTATCACCAATTATATCAAGAAATGATCCCCAAAGCAGTTTCATTTAAACTCGTAAATATAAAAGGAAACCCAGCCATTTTTAAAATACACTGGGTTGTATCAAAGTATAAAAAAGTATGTACACGGCATTAATTGCCAATATAGAGAGAACAAGTGATCTAAGTGAATTATTACAATTATGGAATTTTAACTTAATTTTCCTGCATTCAGAGATTATAGCTAGAAAGTCTATTTTTGCATAAATACTTAGAAAAAGGAAAGAATTTACCCTAAAAATCATTTTTACAAAAAAGTTTTCAAAAAAATGATTCTAGGTAGCACATTGAGGAAAAAAAGAAGTAGCTAAAAATTTAGAAAACTTTAGTGATATATAATAAACTAAAAGGTAAGAGGCATGAGATAAACTTATTATAATAGAATTAGACAGGAAACTAAGAGTAAATGGAAAACAGATTCAGATGACAAATAAACAATACTAAGTATAAAATAGAAGGACCTGGTCTATAGGTGGGTGCTGGCTCAGAGTAAGACAAATGCTAGTGTGACATGGGAGGTCTTCAGAAAAGAGGGAAGAAAAGGCTGAGATGTCCCAGGGAGCGGGGTAGAAGATTTGAGGTCAGCAATCAAATTTTATCAGAAAAGAATCAAGATTTTTTTTTTTTTGGTAGTTCTGGGACTCAAAACCCAAGGCCTTGTGCTTGATAGGCAAGCACTCTATCACTAAGTTACATCCCTGGCCCCCCAAATCAAGGATTTTATAGTATGTCTGTCCAAGGAGTTGGGTTAAAAGTCCCCCCACAATAAGAACAAGCAAACAGTTCTGGAAAAAAGCCCACACAAAGTTTTGGTCCTTACCACAGTGCCTTAAGGAATGGAGTTCCCAGGATGCCCACTTGAGCTGGTTCTCCACAGCATCAAGCTCAGAACTTGGCAATCCCTGAGCATCTTCTTGAGATACTATCTCCTCTACTAGTACTTCTCTTTTCCGTCGACGGAGAGAAACCTGGAAAGATGATTTTGGTTCAGTTGAGAAAGAATTGTTACTAAACACATCCAACAAAAACCATACAAAATATCTACTGCAGAGGCCCAGAGGGCCAAGACACAGAAAGAGAGTGGTAAGGAAATATGGAAGAAGGCATAGAAATAATTTTAATCCAATCAAGTGAAATTAACTCAGCAGTTGACCAACTGCTATGTCAGTGCTTCTGACCCCAGGAAAAGTGATGCAAGCAGGCTCACCGGCTGTCCAGGGTCATCTAGTTCACTCTCCAAATCCTCCAGCACTGTCACTGCCTCTTCTCCATTCTCTGGATGATGCTCTCGAACCCAAGTCTGTAGCTCTTTGGGCAGGATAGCAACAAACTGCTCCAGCACCACTAGTTCCAAGATCTGTTCTTTTGTGTGCGTCTCTGGCCTGAGCCATAGACGGCAAAGTTCTCGGAGCTGGCTCACTGCTTCACGGGGCCCTGGTGAATCCTGGTATCCAAATTGCCTGAATCGCTGTCGGAAAACCTCTGGATCAGGGAGATGATTCCAGGTGATACTTGTTCCCTCTTCACCATCAGGATCCTCTTCCAGCTTCACTCTGAGAATTTTTTCCTCTTCATCTGGAGTTGGGATGATAAGTATTGAATCTTCTTCCACTGACTGTGCAGACATCCTGATTTGTAATACTTCAAGAAAAGACAATAAAGGCAGGATAAAATCCTCAAAAAAATGTCCTGTTTTCTTCACAGGTACTCCTGAGGCACAAGAAAGAAAAACACATGTGACCAAATATACTAAGAATTTGGATTAATACTGATAAAGTAAAAATATTTGTCTTCTACTGGATTAAAAATTCCAATCAAAAGCCTACACCAGGCCTGGGGTTGTGGCTCAGTGGTAGAGCACATGCCGAGCATGTGTGAGCACTGGGTTCAATTCTCAGCACCACATAAAAATAAATAAAGGTTCATCATTAGCAAGAGCAATAAAAAGCCTATACCAGAGTCAGCAAAACTACAGATCGAAACCAAATCTAGCTTGATGCCTGTTTTTATAACACATCAGAAAAGTCTGAAATTTTTTGGTGGTTGAAAAAAATATTGCATGATGTGAAAATGTAAATTTAAAATGTATATATCCATAAATTGTTTTATTTGTTCATGGTTCATACTACAATGGCAGAATTAAGTAGTTTCAACACAGACGATATGACCTAAAAACCTTAATTTTTATTATCTGGTCCTTTACAGAAAAACCTTGCCAGACTATGACCTACAAAGTTGACAAACCCTATTTCAACAATCAAACGAATCCGAGCAAGAACTGGTCTATGTCAGGGTCTTCTAAATGTGCTTGATCTTGGAACACATTATGTACAATTTAGGGCTGGTGTTCTCTGACTTACTTGAGTCAACTCAAAAGTAACTGCTTTTTAAATTTTATTTTATTTTGTGTGGTGCCATGGTCCAGATGCTCTCAAATGTGCTTGACCACTGACTGAGTTACATGCACAGCCATACTGCTTTTTAATTATCTACTTTAAAAGACATTTAAGAACTCTGTGGAATTAAAATATAGGGTGAAAAAATGTTTACTTGCTCAGTAACAGATCACATAAACTGGAAAAAAAATGCTATTTTGCATAGTAACATGCAAATATTATTCATTCACCATACCATAAATACATTTAAATTTATAATGACAGGCATTAAACAGCAAATTCTGTTAAGAAAAGGCATTCTCAAAAGCCGGGCATGGTGGGGCAAGCCCGAATTCCCAGCAGCTCAGGAGGCTGTGAGCTCAATGCCAGCCTCAGCAACTTAGCAAGTTCCTAAGCAACTCAGTGAGACCCTATCTCTAAATAAAAATATTAAAAAAGGTTGGGCATGTGGCTCAATGGTTAAGCGCACCTGGGTTCAATTCCCAGTATCAAAAAATAATAATAACAAAAAGAAAAGACATTCTCAGAACCACTTTAACTTCTTGCAGTAGTTCAGAGGCTCTTATACTGGATGACTCAGTTTTCCCAGCTTCTAACTTCAGGGAATCTTTGTGCTACTTTCTGATCCCTTACTTAGTATTTGCATAGTCATGCGGAGGCCACGAATTGAGAATGAGCCATAGAGTTACTACATGTATTCAAGCTCCAGAATATAAAAGCTGTAACTTACAAAAACCACTTTGTAACTGATCAAGACGAAGAGTAAGAATCCGAAAATGCTTTATCCAGCAGGTAATACATACGGGTTTAAATACTCTGGATGTGGTGGTCTTACAAGCAGTCTAGCCAAAAGATTTACTCATCCCTATCCCAGGATCCGACCTTACCAATGGCTCAAGCATTTCTATATAAGAGAAATTTATTTTCCTTTTATGCTATATAGCACTCGGCTCGTGGGGCACGGGGAGAGCTGGGAGGCAGGCCTCGAGTCCCCAGTGTTTGGACGGGTGACTGATCCCAGGTGATCTTGCCTCAGTCCTGCAGAGACTCGCTGTTTATACCACCTTCGTCCCGAAGTCCTCCAGCCCCTCCTCCCAGCACTCCGAGCCGCGACCACAGACGACCAGAGGCCAACAAGTCACCACCACCTCGAATCCACGGCATTTCCGCCCGCGGCGAGCGGAACTACCAGTCCCAGCAGCCCCCGCGCAAGGCCCGCCCAGTCTCCACCTCCGCCGAGATAACTCCCAGAAGCCTCTGCGAGACGCCAGGGCCTCGAAATAGAACAAAACCGGCAGGTGGGGGAGGGGGAAAACGAGGGTTTCGGAGGGCAGAAGCAACGTACAACTCCCGGCGAATGCCTAAGGCTCGGGCGGGCCTCCCACTAACCCCTTCCCGCCCCTCAACTGCTAGGCGCGGAGACCATGGCCCTTTCTCCGCGCCTCTTGTGAAGCTGAGAAAGGTTCCCGCCAGCTTCCTTGCCGGTTTCTGCTAAAAGGTCCGCAGACCGTAGCCCGGCGTCCCCCTCCTCCTCATACCCTTCCCTCAACTCGCGCAAACCTCTGGCTCAGGAACCGCAGCAGCTTCGCTGTCCAAGGCAGACGCAGAAACACCGCTTACAAGCCGTTTCCCAGAAGCCCCCGGAACGGACTCCTTCCGGTCTGCAGGCCCGAGGAGGCGGAGAGAGGCAAAGCCCCGCGTTGCCATGGAGATGCACTCCAGGTGGGGGAAGGGCGGCCTAACGACAATGACCGCATTGAGGCTGCGCTTGGCTCGGCGCCTCTGCTTGAATAGCCCAGCATTCTGATCCGTTTTTAAAAAAAAGGAAAAGGGGGAATGCTGCCGTTAAGATAGTCTTTTTAGTTTCACAAACCCTTTCATGCATTATATCATGTGAGTAATCCCCTGGAAGAGTAAAAGTCAGTATTTATGAAAGCTTACGACTTGATGCTGGCTACTGTCCCTGTGCTATACATGCACTGTGCTGTTTTGTTTTTTCTCAAAACTTCTATGATGTAGGAACTTTTATTATGCCCATTTCAGGCTAAGTGAGGCAGAAATAATTTGCCAAGAGCTCCTAACTCTTACGTTGAAATCAAGATTTGAAACCAAGACATGGCCCAAACCTTTGGCTCACACCAGCTATGTCACAGAGTTTTATTATGACCAATTTATGTATGTATATCAGAAGCAAAATGAGGCAGGTTGAGTTTTAGCAATGATGTTGAATAAGAATATCAATGGTCAGTCTTATTCAGTAGACATATTGAGCACCACCACAGCCTATTTCAAATATAACAGACTTGAGGCTCACCTATGGGAATACCTCCAGCCAATTACTTCCTTGGGAAGGTGGGGGACAGGGGTGGAACCCAGATGGAAATTCCAGGAAGGAATGTGGGAGTGAACCGCATGGAAAGGAAGACAATAGCCATAATACTTTTCAATGCCTGTTTAACATATTTTTTGCTGCATGCTCTAGCCAGAACTATATATAAACTCCTAAGCTGACACACCAAAATGGATTTTTCTGCTATCAGGCCACCTCCCATGTGGCAGGAGTTCTCTCTCTTCTTGTTTAACTAAATCCTGCTCCATTTACTCTTCCCTTCCAGGATTGTGGACTTTATTCTTCAAAATATAGGAGACAAGAACCCAGAGGAAATTGGCCAAGTGGGAAACATAGTCTCATCTCAAAACTCCAGTTTAAGGTCGCAGTGAATTTGCAGAATGCGTGAGCATCTGACTTCAGCCTGGGTATTTTGTGCCAAAAAACAATTGTAGACATAATCATTTAAAAATGTAAGTCAGAACACTTCATTTCCCTTTAAAGTCCTCCAATGGATCTCAGCTACCTTAAGTATAACATAAAAACTCCTAACATTGATCTGCAAGATCTTCTATAGTTTGTTACCTCTCTGACCAAAGCTTTTCGGCTCAATGTGGCCTAGGAGCTTCAGCCTCACTGCCAGCCTTTCCTTCTGGAAGCCTCCACATCCTTCATAGCACTATTTAGAGGTAATCTCATTTATTTATTTACCTGTTTTGTTTTTGTCTGTAAGTCCTCGGTAGAGACAGGAACTTCTACTGCCTTGTTTACCACAGTATCCCCACCCAGTCCCAGGATGCTGACTGCCTGGTACATACAGAACTCGGTAAACTTTTGTTGAATAAATGAATGAATTGTGGGCTGGTCAGATTTCTGCCTTTGATGTCAGGCATCAGAAACCACACAAGAGAGCCCTGCTGTTTAAGATCTTTTGTTAGAAGCCTAGGTCCAGCCTTCTAGAAACATTCCAAAAATCTCAGAATTCTTTTTTTTTTTCTTCTTCTTTTTTGTCCCATTCAGGAAAGTACCCTCTGAAAAGTGCCCTTAGCCTCTCTCAGTTTTACGAATAAAAGGGTGAGTGAGTGAGCAGCCAATGGCATAGCACTACTGTTTACTCTGACCACAGCTCATCTTCCCATAACCCCTGCTAACTGTCTTGTAGGAGGCTGCAGAAATCCAGCTTTTTAACTCTCCTTCTTGGCTACTGTCTCCATCCAGCTTGGCTGCACTTTCCAACCTTTCCCTCTTTTGTGACTACGCAAGATATTTTTATTCTGTTTTGTTTTACTTTGTTTTTACATATGATTAACATTGGAAAGCAAAAAGTGTAAGTATCAAATAAAAATGTTTGCAGAAGCTAAAAATATTGCAAAATTTTACAAAAGCCTTTCCTGATTCTTTCTAAAATAGTAAATTGAAACCAGAATGACACTTTCTTCACTAAGTTACTCTTTTGAAGATGGGGACCAACAACACCCACTTTGAAATACCATCCTTCTGAGCTCCATTGTGTCAACTGTTTCCTGAGTGGTGGCCCTTGTTAACATCTTATAGCTCTAGTCAAGATAGAGCATTGTGTTCCTCTTGGCAGCCTGAGCATAGGGAACAGCTCGATACCAGTGCTGACAAATCCACTCAGGCCACCAAGGCAAGGCTTGAACCACAGCTAATCTGAGTCTTGGCAAAGCATCCTGTGGTCATGAGAGCCTGGGAGGCTTGTGAGCAGCTACTACAAGGCCATTTCCCTCCCAGCTCCCTGTCTTTCAAGGAGACTGTTAGGAGGCCATTTCTTATTGCTTCCTGGGTTCTAGTGAGGCTTCTATCTCACCCCCTAACAGTACAGTGGTAGGCTGTTAAATGTTTAGCTGCAACAGCATTTGCCCTTCAGCAACAAAGTTTCCATAACTCATTTTGCCCCCTTTATTTTGCTGTCATCATTTGAGTTCATGAGACAGAAGCTCAGGGAGGACTGGCACCTTTGACTACTTTTGCTTCCATTGTCTATATAATAATCTAAGTCTAAAAATGCTCATTTCTTTACCACTAAATCTTTTAACCTTGCCAGGTCTTGATACCAAACATCTCATCCATTCATTAATGATAAATCAAACAAACAAAAAAGACAGATACTACCTGGTTGCCAGAGAGTTAGAAATAAAATGAGTTATGATTCTTTCTTTGAACATGACCATCTTGTTCAGGAGATAGACAAGAAAACAAATATCTACAAGGCAGTGTAGAAGTGTGACAATAGAGAAGAACAGAATACCACCAGGGGTGCTTTCATATGAGTTATTATGCCCAGAAAAGGCAGACACCCCGAGATAGTGGAGGGGAACCAAGAAAAGTTTTCCCATTGTTAGGAAAGCACAGGCCTTCTGGTTTGGTGTTATCAGATTCTACCCAAGACAATCTTTCATTGGCTTTTCTCTAAAAATTAATTTGGAACTCTCAATCTTTCAGCTGGGCATTTTAAGTACTCTTGTGGTGGAGAAACCAAACCTGATTATAAATGGAATTATATGAACATTATAAAAAAGAATCAGTGCCTGGGGAAAGGGTTAATTTCTCCCCCAACCCTAAGCCAGCTTCTCTGCAGGGAACCTAATTAACCTTGGGTCCCTATCTATTGGGTTGTAAATAGCTATCATAGGAAGCCTGAGGACTCTCTCTTGATATGTAAACATCCCTGTGACAATCTTCAAGACCAGAGACAATGGATACCTGTGAAGTTTCTTCTTAAGCTTTGTAAACCTTTTAGGAGTGTAGCTACATCAATTAATTACTATTATAAATTAATTTATAATAGTATAAATTAATAAATTTTAAGTCACCATGACAGTTAACTGCTGTCTAAACTGTAACTTTAGTTTTTAGAAATATAGCTCTTGGGCTGGGATTGTGGCTCAGTGGTGGAGCACTCCCCTAGCATGGGCGGGACCCGGGTTTGATCCTCAGCACCACATAAAAAAAATAAAGGCATTGTGTTGTGTCCATCTACACCTAAAAAATAAATATTTTAAAAAAGAGAATACCCTGGAAAAATAGGGTCCTCTTTTAAAATATCTATATCTATATCTATCTTAGGGAGATAAACTCAAGTCATCTTTAGTTATTGTGGCCTGTGGAAAAGGACACTTCATGATAAGACAAATGTTTTACTGTCTCTGTCCTGCACCTGTGAACTACTTATCGTAAAATTTCTGCATAAGATCCTTCATCATGAAAGTCAAGAATTATAACCTACCATTGTTGTAATGGTTAAGGAATGATGCCGAATTTCCTATAAAGAACCCATGTGACCTAGCTCAAGGCCCAGAACTTCAGAGCACTAGGTCATCTGGGTCCAATGGGACATAAATAAGCCTGGGTTCTCCAACCCTCCTAGTTGTGCTTGGTCTTTTGCTGAGTGCAGTTTCCATAACAGTCTTCCATTTGAGCCAATAAGTGCAGTGATGCCAGGAATCTTTGGATTACAAGTGATTTGAAAACCCAACACTGGCAGACATTAGCTTCCCACATAAAGCCCACCTCCTTACTTCTAGGACACCCTGATATTTTGGATTTATGCAGGCAGGCAATAATATGCCCAGCCATAGGCAACAACTGTGATTAAGCTAAGATATTCGTAACCATCCTTTTTCCTTTTGCTTTTCCACTTTGCCTTCCTGGCAGCTAAGAACAGCCATATTGTTTAGTTCTAGTCAATGAAATGTATGAGGAAGTAGTTCTCTTCTTCCTAAAAAGTTATCCAATTCATTTAAGCTGTCAAAGTTGTTGGTATAAAGTTGTTCACATTTCCTTAACATCCTTTTAATGTCTGTAAGACCAATAGTGTGCCCCCTCATTTGTTCCTGAAATTGGCGATTTCTGTAGTTTCTGGTTTCCCTTTCTTGATCAGCTTTGCTTAAGATTTATGAACTTTATCGGTCTTTATAGAATTAACTTTTAGCTTTGTTTGTTTTCTTTGTGGAATTTTGCTCTTTTAAAAAGATAACATACAGAAAATTTGGGGTGTGTGTGTGTGTGTGTGTGTTTGGCATCTAGTTCTATGAGTTTTAAGACATACATAGAATTATGAAACTATCAATGATACAAAATAGATTCATCTCTATAAAACTCTAGAAAGGATATCTGCTTAGGGTATTCACACCTTTCCTATATCCCTAACCCATGCCAGCCATTGATTTGCTATCTATCACAATAGTTTTGACTTGTCCAGATGTAATAGAAATGGAATCATAAAGTATGAAATCTCTTAAGACTAGTTTCTTTTATTCAGCACAGTGCTTTTGAGAATTAACTTTATTGTATGAATCACTATTTTATTGCTGATTACTATCTACTTATATGTACCAAAGTTGCTTATCC